GCATCTTTTACATATATTAGAATTGCACGATGGTTCAAAGGTCAGAGTTCACATTTGGGGCATTGAAAAAGTGATATGTTAGAGGTCAACGTCCACAGGGAGAAGCCAAAAATGTTTTCTTTTCTGCGTGGGCCCAGTGCACTCTTTGCCTCTGATTGACTTAAACTAATATTTCATCATTGATGAAACTGATGGTCCTAATTTTCTACTTTTTGCTGGAACATGAATTGATGCACTTTAAAAAATTATATTGAGGTGATCACTGTGTATTAAGGCCACGTGCAGAAACTACTGCTGAATGTGCATGACTTCTCAGCCCAGGTGTCACATTGAGTATATTTTAGGTTAAGTTACAGATAATATCTTCTTCATTTGTTTCACTAATGTCAGCATTTCAGGACTTGTGGTTGGTACAACTGGAGAGATTGTCTGATTGTTTTTTTTTTCTTCTTTTGACACCAGGTTGGTTCAGTCTCTCCATTTACATGATGTGTATTTACACTCTGGCTGGAACTACTGGGATCATTCTCTTTGCATTTTTTCTCACATTTGCAATAAGGCAAAAGTAAGAACCAGTGTTTTTTTACTTTAACAATTTACAATTGGCAGTGTCAGTTTGAAGAGTATCGAGGCACGCTAGTTTAAAGAAATAATTCTTGCCATGATCTAATTTATATACCCAGTTGTAGTTTAGAATGGTGACCATTTCCTTACATGTAAAACCTGACTTAAGTATTTAATTAAATGTTCATTCAACAGCCGCCGCAGGAAGAAGAAGAACTGGCGAGAAGAGTACAGAGTCAAACTGCAGCCGGCTCAGCGACAGGCAAGTGTTGCATTATTCATTATATCTACTCTTGTCTTTACACTTGACACCTTTAGGTCTCTCCCCAACCTTCTCATCAGACACGCTGTTCATTACAACTCCATCACACCGCAGTGCTAATCTGGTGCGATACATCATTTCCTATTGTCCTACGGCAGTTTCATTTCTGCTTTTAATGCTCACACCTTAAACCAGCGATTTATTTTACAGAACTGAGAGTGATGTAACCGTGGATATAGTACTACAGCAAAATGTTGTCTTGTGAACACTGTGAGATCACATATTTATATATATATATGTTCATTTTCTATTTATATATGTATGTTTTCATGTTCATGCAGTCCTATAACCTTTAACTATAACAAAGTTCTCTAGTCTCTCTGCTGCATCCTTGTGGCCATAAGTGGTATATAGAATATATACATAAATATACATATACTATGTATATTTTTATTCTAACCTTTATCACATTTTGCTGTGCTACCCCACTAAAGTACTTTTAATTATCACCTGCCACATGTCTTTATCTAACACCCTGAATGCTAACAACCTCTATCGACATTCACAGCGAAACACCTACGAGAACGTCTCCATGTGTCCCATGTTCAAAAAGAAGTCCAGGCCCATAAAAGCCCAGCCCGTGTACGCCAACCTACACAGTGTGCGAATGCAAAAAAACAGACGTCAGCAGCCTGGTGATAAATGAGCTCACGTAAATATGATGCACTGCTCTGATGTCAATGCACAGTTTGTATTTATTACTTTTTATCTGTCGCAGATGTCAGCACATCCTCAGGCTTTTGCACACAGCTTTATATGAGCACAATGAAAGGCCCATTAACAGGCGCAGGATAGTGGGTTTTTTTCCCCTCTTTACTTTTATTTTGATAAGACACAGGCATCACACTGACTGTGATTAATATTCATATTGGAGCTTGGAAATGCATTAACAAGCTGCTGCTCATGTAAGTCCCAGACAGCTGACACGTCTGGTTGGGTCCAGCCCTTAATTAAATGTGGTATGTACTGCATAATTACTGTTGAGGAAATTTCTGTTTTGGGCAACAAGAATATTTGATGGCATCCATCATGTAGAAAGAGGAGACAAAAGCCCGTGTGACCGCTTCTGTTCTCTACCGTAACCCTGTGCGTAAAACGACTGACAAAGCCTGTGTAATTGCTCTGCATTTACTTTCATCCCTTCTGCTTCCCATTTAAAGGCTGACAATGGTGTCTAATCATCCAATAGCGAGGAGAAGCAGTCACTCAGCGCCACAGTGTCGCTCGAGACCGTCGCCGTTTGCTTTTTCCCCAAAGGCCTGTCTTTTTCTGGGATGGCTACGTTCTAGTTAAGGCACGCTCTTATAATGAAAGCTAAACTCTAATTAGCTAATCCTTTGCTTCAGTGTATTACACCCCCCTCCCCCTTCTGTTTTATGAAATGTAATTAAACAAATATTTTATGAGAGGCCGTCACAATTCTTCCGGCTCATATTTATTTATTTTTTATGGTTTTTAATCACGCCTTCATGCTATTGTAAAGCAGTATATTCAGGTTTTTATGGCTGTGGCTATTAACCCGTGTGTTGTTTATTTGTAATCTGATTCATTTGTCTCCATAGAAATGGAGGCAGTGGCAGAGGCAGTAATGGATATGCAGGCTATGAAACGAGACAAATGTGGACACGATAGTAATGTCACCACAGAGGGACAGTAGAGTTTTACAAAGTTTTTTTAAAAAAATGTTCCCCATCATTTGTCTCGCTGTTGAACGTGACTGTGATACTTGTCCAACTGTGTTGTAAATGACGAGCAGAACTGGACAGTGGACAGTGTGTCTGTGTGAGTCACAGTCAATGACATCCTGTGGTATAAACTGAACATGTCACACCCATTTCCCCACTTGAACTTCCTGTGATGTGGTAAAAATGCTAAATGTATGCCTAAACAGCTACAAAAAGCAGCTTCAAATGAACACAATGAAGGAGAAATAAAAAACAAATCCAAGCATAAAGTGGAACTTCCTTTTGTCTGACGTGCAGGTAAACCCATTTGAAAAGTTCTGAAAACGTACGTGTTGAGTCGTGCACTTACCCTGGAATTATTTTTTTTTTCTGTTTGGTAAACTTCACAACAATTGAAAATTTCAAACCCACAAAAGAGATGACAGTTTAGACGAGTAACATTTAACAGAGGTCAGTACATCTCTGAGTGAGTACTACTAGGAGTACATTTGGTTTTACGTATTTGTTTTATTCATTAAGCTATGTCTTATTTTATTAACTTCTGACTGAATGTGTAATAACAAAGTGCATTCATGAATGGTTTCAAGCTCAGTTTAATATGTAACAAACTTTTGTTGGTCGTCCCCACAGATCCATCTTTTCTGTTTTGGGGTCACTGGAGAGACCCACAAATTTGCAGTAAATTTTCACATCAACTAATAACTTATCCAAAGACCCAAAGCCAGTCAAACTTTGGATAAAAATATTTTATATTTCAATATATTCTTTTGTTTGTTGAGAATAGCAGTTTTGTGGGAATTAAATAAAGTGTAGTTTTTAGGATTTTAAAATCATGTGTTGATCAACAATAGTTCTGCTGAAAAAGTCTGAAAAAAACCACTAGCATAAACTGACGTGTCTCCAAAAGACTCACAGCTGAAGGAAATGTGTTCCCTGGTCAGATCCTCTGATCATGGTCTGATGCAGGTGTGTGTGGTTGGTGCTGAGAGGGTGATTGATTGATTGATTGATGGATTACAGGTGTGTGTGACTAAAGGTAAGCCGTGTGCAGCCTGTTGATTGGTCCTGCCAGGAACATTCCAGCATAAAAGACCTGATTCTGAACCAGTCTGTGGCAGATGGTCAGCAGACATGAGTGTTGTGTGTTTGTGTGGGGGGGCTGTTTGTTAGCAGTGGGGCTGTTGTTAGTGGTTTTGTTTCTGGCAGTGTTTATGTTTTAGTCCTGGACAAATGAGTACTTTGTAACTTAGTCCTGATTTAATCAGAAAAACTGTTTTATTTGTAAACGGTTCAAGTCGATGTTATATCGATCACTGTTGTCGACTAAGTCTAAATGTAGTTCATTTGACTGAAATGCAATGGGGAATATGTTTTCATGCACATAAAATGTTTGCACATGACTATGTTAGGACATATGTCGACGCGTTGACAAACTGTTTTATAGAACAGGTGAACCCAATAAAAACCAACACTCAGCGGCCCTGGAGTGTGTTAAAATTAACGTGGGACAAAGACTTCAGGAACCAATCATATGGCTTTGTGCAGCATGCATGAGGTCAAGACAACCTCATTGGTTTGAAGATATTTAACAAAAATATATTTAAAAAGTTGTTCAGTATCTTGACTAATAAAACTCACCCCTCTACTGTTCACAGTACAAACCAGTTAGTAAATAATAAGAAAATAAATGATTTAAAATATAATAGATTATTAGATTATTTCTACTGATTATTTCTAGGGTCCCTTAATTTGTTCTCTGAATCCTGAGGCTTGATTATTGCAATGTTGGTGATTAAATTGTTCTTTCTTTAGTGATTAAGGTAAATAATGCAGAGAAACTTAATTATCTGTGAGTCACGGTGGTGCTTTTATTTATTCATGAAAAACAAAAAGCGACAGCTTAAATTCTGTTTAAGAACAGATTTTTGTGCTGTAAATCCCAGTGCAGATTATTTCACAATGCTGCTTAAAAGTCACATTTAAAAACTATTATTAATATTTTAAAATATTTGGAACTATGTCCTGTTCACTCATGGGGTTAAATCTGAAAAACACAGTAAAATGTGTCACTTGTTTCTGTTCATTTTCCTGTCAGTGACGTATAGAAAACTCCTGTGACTTGATAGAACATTCAGTTTATTATTGTTTTTTTTTCCTCATCAAAAACATAACAGACAGTATGTACATCGAGTGAAAATCAAACCTCTACAGTCGGTGTATCCAAAGTGCTTTTAACGTACAATCTGACAGTGACAGCAGAAACACAGTGGTGTAACAGTGACAGGAATGAGACGACACAGCAGAGCCACAAAGGAGTGAATGGCTACGACGGTCCATTCATCTGTCTGAAGGATACACATGTATTCATTCACCACAGCTGGAGCTCCTGCAGTAACACGGACACTTTGTCTCAGACTCAGAATTCTTGTGATTATCTGCAAAACAAACGTGTAGAAAAATAAAGTGACTGCAAAGCAAGTGCATGTCTTCCTTTCACCTGTGGCCAGGATTTAAATATCTCTGCTATTTCTGCACATAATTTCAAGAAAATAAAATTATACTTTGAAAAACTGTTGTCGACACAAAGTGACAATGATGTGAAAATTGAGATGTTTATGTTCCACAAAGCCTCGACACCTCTACCGATGAGCATTTAAAGTGCTAACTCCGTCACCTGGATTTGATAGATGACAACACTCTGTCTAAAATGTGAAACCTCAAAACAACAAGATGTTTTTTGTTTTTCTTTTAAATTTCCTTTAACACGGTTTATGTTGGAAGGCACTTTTTGATGCAAGAAAAAACAAAGACAACAATGAGTTACTATTGTGATATCAGTCAATAAATAAATACTGGCTTAGGAATAAATTAATAATAAAAATAGTAACATCTATTTAGACAGTTAAAACTAAATGGGCATTTTATGTTTTTTTAAACATGACTTCACCTCAGTGGGTCTGACAACAACTAATACTGTTACTGTTGTTACTGTTAAAAAAATGAAACCTTACAAAACCAAAACCAAAAAAAAAAAAAACAGAACTGCAGTTTTCCTTTCCCTCCAGTCTTCTGTCCTGGTTTCCCCTGTAGTTTCAGTTTAAAAATACTTTATTCACTTACTTTATATGACGTTTGAGCAGAAACGGACGCGATTAAAACCATCCTGTGGTAACAGTGCTGTAAAGCCTGGCAGTTTAACGCACAGACAGCCGTGAGAAGGCGGCGTCCCATCATTCACCACACGGCGGCTCACTCCCTAATGTCCTTGAAGCACTTTTCTGAAGGGCCTCCTTTTTTATTTTTTTTCTTGCTTGTAGCCAATTAAGGACTTTAGCTGATTCATCACGGCTCTGAAAGAATTTTTTTACTTCACTGTTTGGCATTTATCAATTTCACATTTTTGAGGAGGAGCAGGGTACGGTGAGAGTGAACAGCCCCCCTCCCCACCCACACT